CGATTACTGCTGATTCAGCAAGGTAAGGAGCCAGATTGATGAGGAGGAAGAGGAGGAAGATGACTTTGCTCAGCTAGCTAGAAGGTAGGCCTAGTATTCTTTTCCCCTTTGATCATAGAATGCATGTCTTGTTGATATTTATCGCATTACAGTACGTTTAATGTTAATGCAGGCATTCCAAAACACAGCCTGTGCCTTCTGAGACCACATCTGCTGGGAGCAGCAGTGCAGTTGTATCTAAGGGTGATAACAACACTAAGCCGCATATTCCAGCAGTCTCAACCAGTGTTCCATGCAATGCAATTACTCCGCTGGATCCACCTACACCAGTTAGAACTACAAAGGATCAGGACATGATAGATCTTCTAAGTATCACCTTGTCAACAGTGTCCACATCTCCTCGCACCTGTCAGAATCCATCAGCCTCCAGCCAGAACATCCATCCGACACCCCCTTACACTAGTGCACAGGAATACCCAGCTACTTCCCAGACTTACTGTGGAAGTGAAGAACATGCATCATTAAACAGCTATGTTGTTCCCTGGGCCCAACCTCAGTTGCAGAACCAACCCCAACCTGGAAATTATGTGCAGTCTCAGTCTCAACCGCAGCCTCGCTTACGCACACAGCCGCAGATGCAATCTCAATCTCAATCTCAATTGCAACCACAATCTCATCCTCAAGTCCAGTCTCAGTGGCAACCTCATGTCCAGTCCCAGTACAAACCTCAGTATTCTCAATATTCATCTGGCTACCCTCCTCCACCGTGGGCAGCTACTTTAGATAACCCCAACCCCTCAAGAGACTTGCCTACCAACATGTTCTGGACTCCCCGAGCAAACGTGAGTTCAACCTACACAGCGCAGGCATCTAGACCCTTCATGCAGCACAATAATTCATTTCCTGTAAGGGGAAACAATGGGTCAGCCATGGTAAGAAATCCGCAGAATACCAGTACTTGGAACCCTGCCACTGCAGCAGGACAGTCACCGAAGCCCTTCATTCCCTCATACAGATTGTTTGAAGATTTGAATATTCTTGGAAATGCTGATGGAAAGCTTAAGGTGACAAGCAGCACATCTCCTAGCTTGTCAGGAACTTCTAGCCAAGGGATGCTAGGAGGAAGAAAGTGAAGTATCAGCCTCCGAAGAAAGGACCTATCTATGTGAATATGGTGTATATTAGTGCATCTTCTTTCTTTCTCAAACATATTTGAAGATTTTACTTTGATGAAATAGTGCCTTTCTTTGTCATTGTTGGACTACACTATTCGGGTGGTATTTATCTAATTAAATGATAGTGGGAAAGAGGCTATAATAGGTGGGTTGATGTATGACTGACTGTTGCTTGTTATCCAACTTAAAGCTGCTTCTGTTGTTACTATGCATTTTTCTTCTCAGAAAAGCACTAATATTGATTTTCATTTAAGCATTTGACTTCACCTTCATTAAGGAATTAGAATATAATAATATCGATTCATATGGATACAGAATAAAAGGTTTCTATATTGATTCAAGTGCTGTCCTTATGGGATAGGGATAAAAAAAAGAGTAAAAAATTGAAGATTTCATAGTGTTCTTGATTAAAAAAATTAATTTAATTTAATTTATTTTGTACTTTGTCATATTCTATAAAATCAAACCATGGGACTTAAGGAAGGCATGATTGAAGGGAATAAAATTAAAAAAGAAATAAAAAATAATAATAAATAAATAAATAAGTAAATAAAAATAAAATAGAAGAATTCAGATTTTAAATAAATAAATTCAAACTTGAAAAAGTATCTTTCTGATTCTAAAAGAATGAGGGGCAAGAGAATTGATCGAGAAAGATCTCTTATTCTTATTATAAAATCGTGTAATTAGATTCGCAGATGTTTAGTGAAAAAAATAATCTTCTACTTTAAAAATAATAAAAAAATAAAAAATGTTCAATTGGAGCATGAAAACGTGACTGAATTTGTCCTATTACTCTTCGGGACATAGTGGAAGAAGGGAGGAGATTCTCGAACAAGGAAAAGGATTTGATAATGCTGTTTAAAACATTTGATAATGGTGCTGCAGGTGATAACAATTGTGCAGCAGGTTAGCGGCAGTTTTGCACTTTGATTAATTATGTGCACTTGTGAACATCTACGGTAACAAACCGGCATCATCATTTTATTATTGGCATAAACAAGAACAGCGGAACGTTGGGATTAAATCTCTGAGAAACATTCCGTAGAAGCACATTTGCAATTTCTTTTAACTATCCCTAGCAAGGAATGAGATTCCATGCCAAAAAGTAAAAGATTAATTGAAATCATTCACTTGAGCTCGTGCCAACTTGATGTATAATTTGGTTTTGCATAATTTAAGCCTCAAGTCTTGCATGAAAGTTGACTGTTTTGCACGAATATTGTAACAGCCCCGGAAATTTAAAATGAAATGTATATTAAAAATATCAAATGCGGAAGCGAAGTCAAAAATTCGATTAACATCCCTTACACTAAAACCAAAAACGTGCTCACAATATAAAAGATCAAACTACCTAAATGAGAAACTTGAAAGTAAAAGCTACGAATATGACTATGGAGTCTTTAGGCGTCCCCTTCGTCGTTCTCCTACGGAACCGGCTCGGGAACAATGTCTTCCTGATCTGAAATGATTAAATAAGGAATGAACTACACTAACCCAGTAAGGACATCACGATATCTCACCGTCACGGAGGTAAAGGTGGGTAAAAAACACAAAAAGACCAATGGAGCATAATTTACAACAAATCCTTTTATCAATAATAAAACCCTTACCATTCACTTACCTCGGTGAAATTCATAAAAAACAATATACGAAGGCAATAACATCATCATCATCATGTAATCATATATAAACTGTATAACATAATACTTATCAAGCCTTTCGTAATTCAATCGTTACACAACATATTTTCCTCATTTACCAGTCCACTAGTATCCATGGGGATCCATAGGGGTCCCGCTACCCGTTAACCCTTAACACTTGAAATCAGATTCCAGGGCCGTCCCCATACCCCGTCCGGTATGGGCGCCAAAACACATAAGATCTCCATACCCCGTCCGGTATGGGAGACCACAATCCCGGTAGGGTTCCCTACGGACCCGGTCCGTCCACCATCTCCCAGGATATCTAGTCAGGCTGACCACGTTATACAATTACCCATTTACATAATCTTTCATTCTCTTTTTCCTCAGTCAGCATCATCAATCCACATACAAACAAGCAAAACGGTAATTTATGCCAGACAGACAACATACAGCATTAATATCCCAGTCATTCAATTCATAATCAATAAAACAGTAAAATGTGCACACGAAACTATAAAATAGAAACATCAAACCTCATACTGCATTTAAAACTGTAAAATAGGCCAAATAACAGTTAACCGACAAACACACTAGACTCAGGCTCCATTAGCGACCTTAAGTAATTTCATACATTCGTTGATTCAAGAAATACCGTTTTATCATTATTAAACTTTAATACCGTGATAGGAAATAGGGTGAGGGGTCCTTATACGTTTCGGGGTCCGAACACGGCTTCACAATGCGCCTACAGGCTGTCCCTAATTTTCCCTGAATTTTTTCCGGGGAACTGAAACGCACTACTGGTACCTGCACGTGTTCCAAAAAATCCCAAATTAGGCCCAGGACCCCTTTCGGCCAATATCGCATTTCCGGCACGGCGGCTCCGCCGTGCTACGGCGACGGCGCCGCCGCTTGCAGCGGCGATTCGCCTCGGTTTGGCCGTTTTCGGCCGTTTCCAGCCGAATTCGGTCACACTTACATCGATCCTTGCGATTAAACAACTCTAGGGCCCTCGGGGGGCCAAAAAATTACGGAAAACCGAAGCTTACCGGCGGCGGTGCTCTCGGGTGCGGCGGCTCTCCGGTGAAGTTCGTGTTTTGGTGATTCGGCTCCGATCAACCTGTAGAGAAAAGAATGGTGATCACAGTGATATAAAAATTGCATTAAACGGAGGCCGGGAAGGGCCTCATCGGAGGCAAAAACCGAGGAGGGGCGCGGCGGCGCCGCTGGCTTTCGGCCGTGTTTTCCGGCCGTTTGGCCGGGATTTTGGCTCCAATTTTTCCACTAGGGAAATCAGCGTGAAAAAACGAGTCGGGGATATGAAATTTACCTCGATCGGCGGTCAGAAATCTCCCCGGTGCGACGGCCGGTGGCGGCGGCCGGCTCTGGTTCGTCTTCTCCGGCGAGGGCATGCGGCTAGGGTTTTGTGGTCTGGTGTGGGGGTTCTATTTATACTCTTTTGCCTTTTGATCTTAACCGTCCATTTTGATTTAATCTGGACCGTCCGTTTTTTATTAAATCTAGGTCGTCCGTGCGCGCGATTGATCTGGGCCGTTTGATCGCGCGCACGCGGATCGCCAACGTGGCCCGTCCCGGATCGACGTGGTCTTGCCACGTGGCAGGTTCCGGTTGGCCGGGACTGCTGACTAGGTCTGCTGACGGGGCTGCTGACGTAGGCCCTCTCTTTTTTTTTTTTTTTTTTTTTTCTTCTTCTTCAATTTTCCGGGCGCTACAAATATTACGCAGGATCATGTTAAGGTTAAACAGATGGATTAGTTGGAGGCCCCCCAATTTCAGGGGAATTACCAATTGCACCATCTAATAGCTAACACCAATTTGGATTGTGATAGGTACTACTTTTAGAAATTGACCAAGGGAATAAAAGAAACAACTAACACGCCGAACTGAGAAAACCAAAAGACTAAACAACTATTTGCACGCATTTACCTATATAACAAATTTACACGCTTTCCATCTGTGGGTCCTCAGCACTGGAAGGCTAATGAATATATACCATACATTTTCGGCTGATGTACCAGCCACTCTATCCAGAAAGACGGAGAGCACAGGGTTGGCGCAGCAGAATGTTTCCCATTCAATGATCCAAATCCCTTCTCCCACAATCATATTATATGTGTACTCCTGCTGCTTGAAAGATTCAACGAGAAGATACAAGAAAATACTACAAATTCATCTCACTTGAGCATTGTCATCAGCATATATGGAGACAAAAGCATCTGCACCACCAGCAGCAAGTAGTATTTGGTAGGGATGGAATGTGAGACAGCTCATAGTACCAATCTTCTGGGCAAAGAAGCTACGGTAGTAACGAATAGTTCCTAGTTGTTCACCCCCCAGACTGAAGACCTTAATCAACTGCTTAGCTGAACCACTAGCAATGATTGGGGCATGCCTATGAATAGCTAAAGCTGTAAGTGAGCCCCTGTGAGCATCTATTGTCAGGTAAGCATCCTTCAGATTTCTGATATCAAGGAACCGAATGTCACCAGCTTGAGAAGCACTAACAATCTGAAAGAAAAAGACAGATTGAGAAAATCAAAAGTGATTCCACAGAGAGAACAGATCATTATCTTAAGGTGAGCAAAAGAGTCACTTTGCCAGTTACCTTTCCAGGATCAAGTCCAGGTTGAAAGCCAATCCCCATAACTCTTTTTACATTCTGAGTATGAGGATGAGTCGAGCAAGTAAGCCTAAAAGATTACACATGTTCCAAGATATATAAGTACTTAAAAAACATTAGGAAACATGATTACAAAAAGAAAGAGATCTACAAAAACATAGCAGCTGCAAATTCGTTATTCTTCAAGTGGAAGGGTTCTCAACTAAATTAAGACAAAACAGCAGTCCCAAAATTTTTTGGAAATGTTTATTAAATTTTTTCAGTTGCCTTTGTTGAACAAAATTTGGGCAAAGAATAAGATGGATTACCATGCAATTTTGCCGCTGCTGATGTCAACAATCCACAAGCCCCACCCCCTCACACCCCCCCCCAATCCCAGAAAAAAAAAACCAAAAACAGGAGAAGAAAAGAATCAACTGTTTGAAAGAAAGAGGATCATCAGCACTTACATTTCAGGCTTTCGAACATCATAAAGCCTAACAGAACCATCAGCAAATCCAGCAGCAAGTGCACCTCTATGGACTTGAGAAGCAGACTATTCAGCATGTGAGATAGCCAACAAGAAAATCGATGTATTAACCATGTGAATAATAATATTGGTGTGCGCACTATAACACGCATTATACAAAATAAGGCGAAAATAGTTACATGAAACTCATATCACAGATAGAAATGCGGCCCCTAACTGCAGAGTGGGAGAGCAGTCACTCAGACAAGGAAATTTGCTTGTCCAGTTAATGAATTTTCAACCACCAGTGAACTTATCCCCAAGGTCAGATGTTTGAATCTCACCCCAAATTCATCTAGTTCCTACAGAGGACTTCGATAACTCCAAGATGGCTTAAGAGCACAAGTTAGAGCATGCTAATTTGAGTTGACTGCTTCTCCTTTCCTCAACAAGAGTGGAATAGAAGGATTGCAACTTTGGTGAAGATTGCAAATAGAGGAGCTGAGAAACAATTATTGGGAAACATTATGGAATCTCTATGCTAAAACAAGCCTGGAAGAGGCTAAACCAGTCTGGATGATCAGATTTCATCAAAATCAGTTAAAAAAAGTCAACTGCATCACAAATTCATAACTATTACTTGCAGATCACTTGCATGAGGGGCTCTGTGGAATTTCAAGTCACCAGAAGGCGTTAGGGTTCTGGAAGCTGACTTGGCATGAGATGATGGCGGAAATTGGGTAGTAGTGTGAGATATAGCTGCGAGAAAGTCAAAGAATGAAAGAAGCAAGTGGCACACCTTCCAGCAGAGTTCAGAACAAGACCTTCCACTCACTGCTAATAGGGGTTTTAGAAGACCGGTGGTAGGGGCAGTGTTGCCAATTGATGTTAGGGGTGGTTATAAGATTCTTGTATATCCCATTTTTTTCAAAAGGGATCGAGACTGTTTGGGTTTAGGATTTTAAGATTTTAGGGTATCATATTCTTTTAATACTGATACCAAATAAATGTAGGAAAAATTAGGGTTAGTCTGGCTACTTAGAAATTTGGGAGGAAAAACCCGGATATCACACCTAGGATTTCCAAGACATTGCATCTTTTAAGTATCACATTCAAGAGCTTAATTTTATTAAGAAATCCTCGAGGTATTTTATTGAGCAACTGAATTGTGATTTCGGAAGTAAGTGTAAAGACATTTCGGAAGTGAGTATTTTTTCAAATAGGATTGGCCTAGGAAATGCTAAAACTAATAAATCTAGGAATGTTCTTCCTAGTAAGATAGGAAATATTAATACAAATAAGAAATCTAAATACTACCAAGAATAAAATCTTAATATTACTAAAACTATAATATTAAACTCCTAAATGGTATAGTACTTTTAATATTTAACAAAACTGTAATTTCTAATCTATTTACGTTATCTATAGCTACTCCATTCTGCAAGAAGTCTTCGAGGATATTGTTTATCTTTTGATAGAGTTACATTTGTCTGATTCCATTCCATACCCTTTGTTTTTCTCCACGCATCATCTGCTTAATTAAGTGGAAGATTTATGGAGACTTAATTGAAAGCTGTCGTCAGAGACAGGTTAACTAGATAGATACCAGGTATTCAAGCAGTATAATAGAATTTCCCAGTAAAGAAAAGATATACAACCAATAAACTCACCAATGCTGTAATGCTGCAATCTGATGATGATGGAAATGAACTAACAAGTTGCGCTTTCTCCAGGTCCCAGACCATTATAGTTGATACCTCTCCAGAAGCGTACTAATAACGTATCATTCAAGAAGACGGAACAGCAATTTCAACATTACATATTGGCAAAAAAAATTAATCCACAAAATTACATTCGTAAAATATCTACCAGATATCCAGAAAACTGCTGCCAGTCCACCACAGCATTCACGCTTCTCACACCAGGTTTATGACCTCGAGTAGAAGAAAATGCAGAAACAACCTTTTGTTCACCCTTCAGAGTGTAATCTTTCCAAATACGAATATTTCCGTCACCTACATGAAAGACAATATTTTCAGCTCAATTGACAGAAAAATCTCTAAAAATTCTAGCAAATAGCCAATAACTTTTTGCAGCAGAAGTTGAAAGTATTACTTGAAGCTACAAGTAGCAAGCTGTCATCAAGCTCGTTGACAAGGCAGAGCTTAGAAATTCCTTTGTCAGGAAAATCATGATTCTCAAATCATTGAGAAGGGTAGCCTCCTCATAATTCCATACCCTGAAAAGAAACAAATGTTAAATGATT